GGAGAGAGAGAGAGAGAGAAGAGGCGCGATGAACAGCGGGAAACGAAAGGAAAAGAGAGGGAGAGAGGACGTGAGAAACCAAGAGGGAGATAAATAGATAGATAGCTGGATAGAAAGAGAGGGGGGAATGCAGAGAGAGAAGGAGGGAAGGCGGGAGAGAAAGAGAGGGAAAACTGTTCCACGTCGGGCGTCGGGGGCTTTTCCGGGGGCGGGGGTGGCACCACGGGCATTAAATATACACGCTGATTTGTCGTCCGCGGATTGTCACCTCTGATAGCTTTCATTTTGTTGTATATCGGTGCTCGCGAGCGCGCGGGCGCCCACGCTCTCGCGCCCCGCCGCGCTTTTCGACGTAATTCGGCCCGCTTGATTGACTTTTGAGCTGGCCTTTATGGCGATATCCGCCGACCCCCTCGTGCACCCGCTACTCTTCTCCTCCTCCCCCTCCCTCCCCCCTAGAACGAGGACGACGATTTATCGGGCACCGCGCTCGTTCGCGTTCCGCCCCGCTTTTCGAACTGGATCCGAGTTTGTTGTCCGGGTGCCCCTTCGTCAACCAACGAATCCGGCGCCCAGGGCGCGACGTTTTCGGCAACGACACCACGGGGCAAACTGTATATATGAGCAAGCGTGTCAAAATGATCGCGCGACCGGCGATGATATTCCCTGGCTTTTTCGGTAAATTTATACTCCACCTACTCTAACGTCAATCAGTGCAAATCCGGATTATCCGGAAAATACAATTAGCGGTCGAATAATGACGATGTAAACTATTGCATTCGAGAGAAATTTCAGCGATTTCCTCCAAAGTTTTTTTCGCGGACGAGATTGCTGTGAATTTTATAGCTTTAGTTGCTACATCGAGTAAATCAGAACCATCGATCTTGATTTTAGCCAACAAACTCTTTTGATCGCAAATTTTTGCTACAAATTTACAATCAATTTTTCGTCGAAAGTGTACGCGAGTGTTTCCCTCCTCCGAACTGCCTGATTATTCTCCTAATGGGAATTCCTTCGATGGTATGCACGTACAATGATACGGCCACTTCCGAGATACGCAAATCGATGTAAACATGACGCCGTTCGATGCAAATTATTACAATGAGTACAAACGAGTATTCACTGCCATTTGCAATTCATTTACGTGCGACCGCATTTCGTTCCTTTTCTTTTCTTCGCTTTTTTCCTCCTTTCTTTTTTTTTCATTTCATTTCACGAACGGTAAACTCGTTCCGGATTAAATCGCACGGTTCTTATCGGCCTCGCGCGAGCCTCTATTCGTTTCCTTAGTTATCCTTATCGCGGCCTGTTTCCACGAGTCGCGCCGCGGTATATTTTATCAACAGTGCCGGTACTCACAATGATTTTGAATAATACGCGACGGCCCTCCCCGCATTTGTTGAATGTCTCAAGAATTCCGCTCGTATTGTCCGCTGCCGGAAACATCACGAGCTGTTTTCCCGCGTTTCTCTTCGTGCGAGCAATGAGTCACGCCGTCCGTGGAAATAAATACTCTTAATTCCGCAGAAATATTAAAGCTTTTCAATGTTTTATACGAGCAAGGTAAATTCGATCGCGTTTTTCACCGGCAAGAATATAATGATTTATCAACTCTACAATTAAGTCATCAGTCAGCCGACAATGGTTTTCAAAATTTCATTCCTATTAGAATCCTCTAATTTATACAAGGTGTCTCAAGCTCTTCGCGTTGCCACGATTAATTTTTCCCTGAGAAAAGATCAATTCTCAATTCATAAAAGCGTAGAGACACCCTGTATATATTTAACGTCATACGTGAAGTTGATTCCCTTATATTTTCACGAATAAAAAAATCATCGTTCCTAATTAAATCGTTTGTCAGCCGATTATAATTTTGGAAACTCCACTTTTGTTAGTTTTCTGATAGATATGATTATTATATACATTTTATCGTGACACGTGAATTTCTTCGCGCTCTTACGAGAATAAGAAAATCATCGCTTCTAATGAAATTAACCCTTAAATCCATCGATCGACTATAATTTTGGAAACTTTGCTTTCATCAGAATTGCCTAATAGATATGACTATTATATATATTTCAGCGTGACACGTCAGTTCGTCCATGCTTTTACGTGAATAAGAAAATCGTCGCGTCTAATTAAATCGTCCATGAATCGACTATAATTTTGTGATCTATCATCGGCACTTTTTCTAATAGATGTAGCATTGTATTATTTATATATAACATCGTTTCCGAGCGACATAAAGAGACATCATTTTATAATTATCTTTCCATATGTGGAGTGGCAGTTGCAAGAGTAAAAATTGTTATAATTGGCAAAAACTGGCCAGATGGATAAGATGAACGACTGATGAATAATGCGACTGGACGCTGATGAATAACGCGAGGGACCCAACATGACGGCATTACAGCAAATCTACCCTTTCTTTCGTCTTCACGCATTTTAGCCGAGACTGCGGCATTAACCCTGTCCGCCACAATGGTCGCTATATAACCGCTACATCGCACAAGTAACAAAGTGCCTTCTTTCCAGTGAATATAAACGATAGTGAAGCAATTTTTCAAGCCAGCAGATGAAAATGTTTATTTAATTGTTAGCTGTTTGCTAACCCTAT